AAGACTGTGTTTTTTTGGTAGTGGTCAGGCTGCAGATGCACGCTGCGGTTGTACTGGAGCTGGTGAGCAGCCCAAGGAGAGAAAACCCCGGTGGCAGCTGCCTGGTGGCCGGGTGGAGCGGGCTGGGACAGCCCCCACGGGTGGTGCTGCCGCAGGGCAGGAGCCCCTGGCTGGGCGGTGGGAGCTGGAGCAGGATCTGCTGGGGAGCAATATTCCACTGGAGGAGAGGCAGTGGGGTTCTTGGTTCCTCAGATTCAGTGCTTTGGGTGGGATTTCCCATGAGCTGCAAGGGTGGGTCAGGATCCCTCGCTGAGACGACCCTGCAGCTCCAGGGGCAGCAGCTGTGAAAGCCGCCTGTGGTCGGGCGGTGTTGGCTGGTGCCTGTGAGCAGGACGCCCTGCACCGGGCCCGCCGCGTGCTGCTGAGCGGCTCTCGTTAGGAGAAATACGATATTTGCAGCGTAAGGTTGTGAAAAGCCTGAGGCCAAAAACAAAAACAAAAAAAAAAAAAAAAGGAAATGACTTTTTCTGGTGTGTGTGTGTGTGCATGCGCCTCTGCGAGGTGGCTGACCTGGAGGCGTCGGGGTCCCCCGCCCCGGCGCAGCAGGCGCTGCCAGGAAGCGCCGCGGTGGCCGTGCCGTGCGGCCGTGCTGCCGGCCCTGCTGCGTGCCCCTGCCCGCGGCACCCGGCGGTGCCCAGCAGCCACCATGTTCCACAGAAAGCGCAGCGTCTCCTTCGGCGGCTATGGCTGGTGGGTGGCTTTCGCTTCAGCACCCTGCTCGCTCGCGGCTTTTCTTCCCTCTTTGGCTTCTCCGGGGCCATTCGGGTGAGGAAGCACCGCGGGGCCCTGCCGGCACAGCACCAACGCTGGGCAGGACGCGCTTCTCCTGGTGCCCTCAGGGAGCCCAGCGCGGCACCAAGGGGAGGGTGCTGCGGTGCCCGGGGAAGCGCCCATGGGGCTCGTGGTGGGTGAGCACTAGTGGGCACGGCACCCGCAAGGGCACCGCGGGGCTGTCCCCTCTCCTCCTGCCCTGCTGCATGGGATGTGCTGCCCGCCCTGTCCTGCCCGGGCAGCGGTGCCTGCAGCTACCTCCGGCACCTTGCAGCCCATGGAGCTCCCACCTGACGTACGGGAGGTGCCGGGGCCGTCGGTGCCTCCCCGGGTCATCCCTGCACCTTCTGTCCTTGCACAGAGCACTGCGGTGGCCACTTGCACCCTGAGCTCAGCAGGGCTGTTTGGTTTTTGTGTCCCTTTTTCTCAGAGATGTATTGATCTATAGGGAAAGATTTTAAGAAAATGGCACTGTTCTTCCTCTGCCCTTGCTTCACTTTTCCTAAAATATTTTATGCCTGTTCCAAGTTTGTGCCGCGTGGTTAGGAACTGAAGGATGCACCGACACCGTGGGGGTTGTTTAGCCGTTGGTGGTCGGGCAGGAGGACGTTCTCCCTCACCGTGCCTGGCGGCTCTGCAGGCTGCGTTTGGTGGCTGCCCGCTGCTGCTGGCTCCGGGGCTGGGCAGCCTGATAGGCACCGGCGGTTTTGGGAGGAGCGCTGGGGCCGGTGGCTTTTGAGCTGAGCTGCATGAAACGTTCTGGGGGAAATGCTGAGTAACTGAGATGGGGGATGGCAGCAAGATCGTCAAGTGTCGGCAAAGTCCTCTGGCAATGTGTGTGCCTTAAGTCCAGCATTTTCTGGATTTTTTCTTTGATTGGAAGAAAGCACTCCAAGTAACTTGTTTGTAAATCAGTTTTGTGAAGCTTGGGCTCGTTTTCTGGTGCAAAGAAACGGCAGCTGCTGGGATGCCTGGCCCATCGCCACCGCCTTTTGGAGTGCTGGCTCTGGAGCCCTGACCATGCTGGGCTCATCCCTCGAGCTGCCGTTTGCTGACCACTTCCTCAGCTGTGATCAAGTGGCACAAGTGCAGGCTGGAGCCCTTAGCTTCACCTTTGCAGGGTGTTTGGAGTAATCCAGGCTTCGCTTATTTGTTCTCCTTCTCTGCTTTGGCAGTTGCAGGGAAGAGATAAGAGCTAACCAGAGTAACACAGGAAAAGTGTCATCTGCTGGCTGCTACGCGGCGCTGCTGCCGTTGGAGTGTGGAGTGCTGGCTGCTGGGGGAAGCAGGGTGCTGACTTAAAATACATCAGGATCGGGTTCTGCGAAGCCCTATTCCCATGTGCTGCTGGGAAGGTCCCAGGTGAGGTGGGCAAACGAATTCCCGGGGTCGCCTCGGGAAGATGCCCTTTGCAGCTGTGTTCCCTGCAGAGTGCCCGTGCGGTGCCGGGAGCTGGCCAGCTCGCAGCGCGTGCCGTGCCGCTGCCTGCGTGGCAGGGGGCTGCTGTGTGCCCGGGGCAGCCTCTCCTTGCAGCGTCCCCCAGCTCCGCACCATCCCGCGGCCCCTCTGCAGGCCTACAGCGAGGCAGCAGCCCTGCCACAGCCCTGTACCTGCATCTCTTCATCTCCTCACAGTCATTTCGGGTTTGCGGCCGACACGCCCTTCCTGTGGAAACCTGGTGAATAAGCACGAGAGGTGGCCGGGCACACCCAGGCACCTCTTTCTATGGGCTGTAGTTGCTATTTCCAGCCCCGAGCTGTGTGTGAGTTGTTGTTATTTTTCTCTCTGCTGGCTGCATCCGTTCCCACGGGGCCTCGGGAGCGGTGTGCCCGTCCTGGGGTGGCCTGGGGCTGAGCGCGGTGCGGGGGTGGCGCTGGGCACCCAGGGGCGTGGTGCCGCGGGCGGTGTCACCCCACCAGGTGCCAAGCCGCTGGCTGGGGCTGCTGCCGGGGACTGCAGAGCCTCGGGGGGGGGCTGCTGCCGGGCTCTGCGCCCCACCACTGCACGGCCTCAGCCCCTCTGTGGGAAGGCCCAGCTGCTGTCGGTGGCTCCGTCCTCCTGAGCTCTGCTCCTGGGTCCCGGGGGGACAGAGGCGCCCCGAGCCCTGTGCTGCGGGGAGGAGAGCCGGGGGCGTGCACTGTTTCACATCGCCCCACCTCAGGGAGGGGAGCGCTGCGAAGGGCCTGACCACGCTGCTCGCTCAGTTTAGTCATCTCGCAACTGCGGTTTCCCCAGCTGAGGGTTTTCTTTCTTGTATTTTTTCTTCTTCTTTTTTTTTTTTTTTTTTTTCTCCTCTCCTCTCTCCATGAGGCAAAATAACAGCAACTGATTTTTCTTCTCATGCTTCCTTCCTGACGGAACCCAAACCGCTGGGCACAGCCCCGCACCCCGGCCCCCAGCTCGCTGGCCCCGTTACAGAGCTCAGCACCAGGCACCTCACAGCAGTGTGCTCGGTGCTCAACCCCACCTAATGTCCGACGAGGTCTGCAGGCAGGCTGGTTAAATATTAAGCACTAGGAGCAGCCGACCTGGGTCTGTGTGTACGGGCGGCAGTGTGCCAGGTCTCTGCAAAGCTGTGAGCACGGGCAGATGTCGGTGGGGGCCTGCAAGGATGGCAGGGGCGACAGCTTCAGTGTGTGCTGCGGGCGGGGAGCCTCCTGCCGACCCGCTGCCTCCGGGCTCACCCGGTGCTCCTCAGCCACAGGGGAGCCCCCGCAGGTTCGGGGCTCTGCCCCTGCAGTGGACAGAGCAGGGCAGGGGCCAGGAGGTGCGGGGAGTGCGGTGGCTCTGCCCATGGGCAGCGGGGACGTGCCAGGTGGGACCCCCGGTGCTGGCACAGCCCAGCCTGCGGCAGGGTGCAGGGGCCCTGGCCCCACTGTGCCACCCGCCCAGCCCGGGAGCAGGGGGAGGTAGGGCTGCTGGTGGAGGGGAAAACGCATTTCTGCAGCCTCGCAGCATTTTCTGTGATCACAAGGCAGAGACCAGCAGTGTTCTGTTGGGTTGGGTCGGTTTGGTTTGTGTTTTTTTGGTGCACCATGTAGCAGACAACACAGAATTCGCAGTTACTGCCAAAAGACACAATTTTGCAGTTTTGAGACATTACTATGATTTGCATTAATTAATATTAATATGGTTTTTAACCATAATAATTCTGTGGAGACAGGCGCTTATTACCAGTGCTAAACACAGAGGCGATGCGGCTCAGGATCCCGCCGGGGCTGCCCCGCGCTGCTCCAGCTCAGGCTCGGGGCGGCTGCGGGCGCTCGCAGCCAGTGCTGGGCACCTGGGCACGAGGTGCGGGGCCGGGGCCTGGACCTGTGCTCGTGCAGCGGGGCAGCCCAGGCAGCTCTAAAGGCCAGTGTGCCCTGCTGCACCTGGAGTCCTCACCCCAGGGACCGTGCTGCTTGTCAGGCTGCAGGGCTGAGCTGCAGGGCCTGGGGCGATGTTCGGGTGCACCTGCGTTGTCCCAGGTCTGTCTTCATGAAATCCGTGCTTTCTGGGAGGCTGTGGGGAGAGCTTGGATGTGGGTAAATGAATTTGGGAGCGCGATGAGAGAGCCAGACCTTGAGTAGAGCTAAGGGGGAAGTACAGGAACAAGCTGGCCGGGGAGGCAAGGGGACGGGCTTTGTTCCTTGGGTCCTGAGGTGAACGTGGACACCTGGGGACGGGTCCCAAGGCCGGACAGCCCGTGTCTCTGTGCCACCACAGTAACGCGCTGCTCTGCTCTCTCCCCAGGATCGACAAGACAATGCTCGCCAGCCTGAAGATGAAGTGAGTACCGCGCTTTTCTCTTATCAACCACTCTCGTGTGAATGCAGTGGTGGCCAGCGTGGCTTAGAGCAGAGGGCGGATGCTCTGCCCTTAAAAACCAAGCAGCCAGCCAAACCCTACCCCCATGCATGGGGCAGGCTCGGGGTGGCTGTGCCACAGGGGGGGCTCAGGGTGCCAGCCCCGCGCTGTGCCTGTGCACAACCCCGTAGCACCAGCCCAGGCAGCGCGGAGCCGTGCGGGGCAGAGGGCAGTGTCTGTGCCCTCCCTGCCTGCTCGTGGAGCTGCTGCTGTGCACGTCACACAGCCCCTGCTCCGTTACTGTACGGTGATGCATGCAGCGAGCGGTTCTGGTGAACAGGATGATGTGAGTGCTGTGTTTTTAGCGGGTTTAAGGCACGTGTGGTGGAATTCACAGGGCGTTGGGTTTGGAGGGATGGGAATGGGAGCCTGGCAGGGCAGGCTGCTGGCTGCATCGCCAGCAAGGTCTGGGTTTGCTCTGGTTGGGATTTGGATCTCGCAGTCTGGGGAGGGGGCAGCTCCTGGTGGGACATGGGGTGTGCAGCGCCCCTCACCCTGCTGACCCCGTGGGCTGCTGGGGGTGCTGGCTGTCACTGCTGCCCATCCCCTCGGCTGCTGTCAGGGCAGTGGGCAGTGTGGCTGGGAAAGCTGTGCTTGTTCCAGAACATGAGCTTGAAGACAGAATGTGTTCGGGGTGCAGGGTCTGAGCCAGCTCCGCCCAGACAGCCCCTGAGCACCCAGTGACTCGATGCTTTGCTGGGGAATCGTCTTCTATCAGAGCAGCCGTGGCTTTCCTGGAGGTTTCGGCATTAAAGGAAACACCCTCCCCCTGCAGCACCAGGGATGCCTCTCACAACGGGCCCTGCCCGTGCTGTGCCCCCCTCCTGCTGCCCGAGCCAGGGATTTTCCATTGCAAGCCCTCCTGTGGCTCCCAGCGCTGTTACTGCCGCTGTGTGCTAATACAGAAATATTCTGGCCAGGCCTCCCTCGAGTTCAAGGTAATACGTGTGGGTAACTGCTCATGCAGTTTCCCTTTATAATCATTACTTGTGCAAATTATTCATTAATGGAAAAGTATACAGAAAGCCTTCGGGGACCTGCTGCTTGAATAAGCCTGTAAAATGCCCTTTGTAAATAGCACAACAGAAATGCTGTTACTAAGCTCATTGCTCAGGTTTCCACTGAACTAATGAGAAGTTTAAATCGACGTTTACAGCTTTCAGGAGCGTGGGGGGGCATCTTGGTGAGTTTTCTTTTTCCCATGGTGCTGGGAAGGATTTAGCTGTGCCATGCACACCTGCTGCCCTGATTTATTTATTAATTTATCTATTTTTCAGGGCCTGTGCAGCAGTGCTGCTGCAGAAATATGTTTGAACTTCTTAGCCAAACGTGTGGGGCAAACGCTGCCTGCTCAGACTGTGGTGCCAGTGCCCATGGTGTGCACCGCAGCTCCTGCCTGCACCGGGTGCTGGGCTCCATCCCTGGGAGAGGTGCGAGGTGTGGGGTGCTGGGGGGCAGCCGTGGCTCCGGGGGGCTGCAGGGCTGGGGCTGTGCTGGGAGCTGTGCCTGAGCAGCTCGCAGTGAGCTCAGTGATGCTCAGCCCCGGCTGCTCCCCGCTGGCACTGCTCCTGCCTGAGGACAGCAGGTATCTGGGGCAGCTGCTGATGTTTTTTCCCTACATAATGCGTTTTTGGCGATAGCAAAAGATCTTTGCTGCTGAAGTGTGTCACCTGCCCCCAAATGCAGCTATGACATAACGCAGGGCTGTGCAGGCTCGAGCACTCGCTTTGTTTTCCACGCTCGGCAATGCGACATTGCCCGGTGTCCCCCTCTCCCGTGCCTCCAGTTATGGCCGGGGCCGCATCAGCTCCTGCTGTCGGCTGGGAGAGGACCTGGGAGCTGTGCTTCTCCCCCAGGGGTGTGGGGAGATGAATTTTCCATGGGGGAATTGATTTTTGCATGTCTGCAAAGCCTCTCGGAGCACAAGAGAGGAATGAAAACGCTTACTTCAAAGGCAGGGCCGAGAGATGATTTTAAACGCTCACGAAATGCTGCTGGAGCCTGGCTGGGCTGCGGCCCCTGGGGAGCGGGGGGTGCCTGTGGCTGCACAGCCCGGCCCAGAATCCTGCTGAGCTTGCGGCCAGGAGCCGTGCCCTGGGCTGCTGGGTTTTCCCTTCTGGTCCCGGTGCTGTCACATACAGAAAACCAGTGCCCCTCCAAGCGCTGAGCCTTCCCGTGGAGCAGGAGCTCCTGTCCCCAGGTCTGGGCCCTGTCGCCAGCAGCCGGGGGCCAGCCCCAGCCGCGTTTGCTCAGCTGAGCGTCCCCTGGAGCTGTTCCATCCCCGGCACTTGCAGCTGCTGCTTTCCACAGCCTCTCAGCGCTTCTGCTTTGTGGACAGATTGCATCATTAAATGTTTCTGTAATTGGGGCCCAGCCAGAGCCACGTTAGATATTCGTAAAAGCCCTTAAAATAAATAATAAAAAAAAGTAGTTTTGGTTTTCTAACGCCCTCTTTTTATTACTGCAGCCTTCTGGCTAGGATACCAGGCGTGGGCAATTTGCTCTGCTCTATAACTTGTTAACAAAAAGACAAGCTGCTTCCTACAAGCCAAGGAGCACTTCAAGAAGCCTCGTGCGTGCTGCAAACATCAATATTGACTTGTGGCAGGCTGGCGGAGGCGGAACAGCGAGTGGCTGCTGGTTGTGGCCCAGAGCCTTTGGCTGCAGAGGGGACCCTGGTGCAGCGGGGTGCCTGCAGGGTCCCCACCATGGTCCCGTCACTGCCAGCTCCTGGGCAGCCTTCCTGGGGCAGCGAGACCCCGTGGGGAGCACCAGGGCAGCTGCGTGTCCCTGCGTCCCCGCGGCGCCGGCGCCTGGTGAAACCGAGCGGGGCTGTGGGGCTGCTGCTGCCTGTGGCGTCTGCTGGTCGTGATAATGAACTCACACACACAGGTGGCACCGCAGCTTCAAAGCAGTTCTTCCCTCTATCTTGCTCCTTTTTATTTTTTTTAATTTGGTTTTCATTAGTTCCTATGGCAACCATGAATATGTCTGAGGGACTTGAAACTGGAGAGCATGAGTAGACATTGCAGAGGGGGAGCATCGCAGGAGGAGAGACTGATAGCCCTGTCATCTCGGCCAGGGATTCGGTTGTCCTAATTCTGGTGAAGGAGGTGCTGGGACGTACCTGCAGGTACAACTGGCGAGCAAACGCGCCGCAGAAGACCGAGCATCCCTGTGCAGCGGGGGGCTCTGAGCTGCCGCCTTCACTGCTCGGCCTCCGCAATGCCCAGGAAGCTGTGGTGAGTGCGGGACTTGCTGTGCCCCGTGCCCGGCTGGCTGTGCCCTCCTGGCCAGCAGCTCAGCGCCGTGCCCCCGCCTCGTGCAAAGCGAACCTGGCAGCGGGGCCCCGGCTCTGCAGAGGCTGCTCGGCGTGATGGGGAAGGGCAGCGCGGGGTTGGGGCTGTGTGGCCAGCCGGGGGCTGCTCTGGAGGGAGCTCCGATGCTCAGAGTCCCACCGTGCGTGGCCAGGGGCTGCTCTCGGGAAGCCTGCGGAGTCTGTGCGGGAGGGGGGCGGCCCTGGCAGCAGGCAGGAGAGGGCTGTGGGGGTGTCGGGGTGCAGTTGGGGGTGCCTGTCCATGGGGAGCATGGGGAGGGCTGCGCTGCTGGGAGCCTGAGCTGGGGCCTGGGGCTGCCAACAGCGGCACCAGCACCAAGGGGCTGCGAAATGGAGACTGGGAGCAGGATTTGACATGTGCAGGCGTGGGATGTGGGATGCTGGCACAGGCCAATTCCACCACACTCCTTTTTCTGTGTGTTTTTGTTTTTTACTCTTTAACTACTCCATGTAAATCTCAAAAGGGGCACTGAGCCCAGAAGAAGCCCTCCCTGTCTCGGCTCACTGCTGCTGTTTCTTCTTGTGCCACCTGCGGTACCTGCAGAGGGCAGGCAGCAGCTCCCGGACCCGTGGTGCCATCGCTGCCCCTCGGGGTACGGGGGCAGCAGAGCTTGTAGGACACGCTCAGGCTCCATGGCGCAGGTCGTGCTTCCCAGGAAGGGGAGAGCAGAGACAGACTGCAGAGAAATCCACTTCTGAAGCCTGAATGTAACCCCAGGCAAAAAAGTAATCATATCAAAGGAACTTTGCATATCCAGCAGCAGCCCTGGGCCAGGTGAGCTTACTCAGCTGATTTGCACTCTCACCCGAGGTGCAGGTTCAATGCAGGGTTCCCGGGGGCCAGGCAGGTTCCTGTGGATGCCTCCCAGCCCCAGGGTCCTGAGCTCCTTGTCTGGTGCTCCCCTGGGGCCGGCACAGGGTGGGGAGCTGCGGTGGGACAGGGATGAGCATCAGCTCTTCCCAAGGCTGCAGCTGCTCAGGGGCTGTCCTTCACTCAGAGACCCTTCGTCTGCTGGTTCCTGCTCAGCCCTCTGGGTTCTGATTGGTTTCTCTCTGGTATCATCAGTAGGATGTAAAGAGAAACCAGCAACTATTTTAAAAAATCTATAAAATAAGTTACACCGTCAGGCAAAGAACCACTTCTTGCTTTATCCTTATAAAGCAAAAATCATGATGCAATCGTGTCTGTGTGGAACAGAGGAGCCTTGTACACCAACCACTGCAAGTTAGCACGTGCACGGCTAAAATTCATGTGAAAGAGCATGTGATGCTCGTCTGGTAATGGGAACGGTGGCAGAACGTGAAGGTGCAAAGAGATGAGATTGCCCTGACCTTCGTAAAATGAGCTGTGTCCAAGCTCGAGGCTCTTTAATATTTGATGGGCCAGAGCTGTGTTAATGGGGAGATGTGGCAGTGATTTAGTTTCTTGGCAGGAGCTGCACTGATGATTGCAATAATCTTGTAGGTATGCGCTTAGGTCCTGTGAGGACAAGGTCTGGAGAGCAGGTTGTGTCCAAGTAAATTCCTCTGATTTTACTGCCGCCTTTAAGATGGGTAATTGCATGCAAATGAATGCTTTACAATTATACCCTGCCTGTAGTAGTACGCGCGTTCCAGCTGGGCCTCAGCTCCGCTGCAAAAAACCACCACCAGCAGTGCCTGAAAAGCAGCCGGCTCCAGCAGACAGAGGCAGGCTTTGGTTCTCATTTGCTTTTGCAGCTGCCGATCTTCCGAAGCTTCCAGAGGTGGTCCCCTCACCGGCCTGCCTGCTAGGGAAATTATTAAAGCTGTGGTGTGGAAATGGAAGAGCAAAGCCGATCCCGTGGGGCCGGTGTGCGAACTGCGTGCACAAAGAGTTGTGCAGCTGCCGGGGTCAGTGCTTGTGCAAGGCGCTGGACGAGCCCCGTGCTGCTCCCCTGGGCTGTGCCCGAGGCCCCACGTCCCTGCAGGCCGCGGCCGTGCCCAGGCTGGGGGCAGCACGGGGGGGGGGCCGTGCTGGCGGCGCTGGGGCAGCCCCCCCGGGGCGGGTGCCCGTGCGTGGTGTGGCGGCTGCAGCTGGGTTTGAGCGTTTTAACCGTGTCCTCCAGCAGCGCTGGGATTTCCCCCCGCATCCCACGGGGCTCGCCCCGGCCTCGCCCCCCCCCGCAGGGCCCGTCCCAAGGCGCCGCCCACAGCGGCCGCCAGGGGGCGCCGGGCCCCGCTGCGCCGGGCAGGGCCGGGCCGGGGGCGGGGGCACGGGGGGGGGGCGGGGATGAATCTTGTTCTAACGAGGATGGTGGAAGAAGGACGGGGCTGTGCTCCGCGGTGGACGCTTTCTGCTTCCCCTGCTCCCCTCCTGCACGTTTCCTCAGGGCTCGGCACGTGAAGTGCTCGCAGAGTCCAGCCCCAGCCCGCGGCTGCCTGGGGGGGCTCTGGTGCAGCACGCCCCGAGCATCCTGGCTGCCACCGCCTGCTTTAACGCTTCCCTGAAGCTGCTCTGCCTGTGCTCCTGGGGGGCTGCGCTAGGGTCAGGGTCCTGCGCTGAATCAGAATGATTTCCAAAAAACACCAAAACTTTGAAGAGAAAAAAAAAAAAAAAAGCTCCGCTCTGAACGGGTTTGGGCTCGTATCCAAAGCCAGGCAGTGTGATTCAGCCCTCTTATTCTGGCAGGAGATAGGCGTGTGTGAAGGCGCTGCCTGGCCTTCTTTACTTGCCCAGTGCGTGGTGCACGCAGCGCCAGATGCAGCGGCTGCTGCGGTGCTGGCCGAGCCCAGCAGCAGGAACCAGCCCGTGAGGCTTGGCCAGGCCCTGGCTCTTTGCCCGTGCCCGGTGCCTCCTCTCATGCGTGGCCAGCTGCAGGCACATGAGCATTTGGCTTTTCTCTGCTGTTTATTCCGACTGCGAGTGGATAAAAGCAAAGCGAGCTCGGGCAGTGGGTGGTGCTGCTGCTCGGCCACCCGGGTCCCTCCTCGCGCAGGGGATCTCTGCCCATCGGGAGCTGGCAGCTGCACATCGCTGTCCTGGCTGCCCTGGGTTGTTAGCACAGGGCGGCTGGGTTTCAGCTCCTTGGCCTCCAGGAGAAGAGAAGCCAGGTGGGGGCTTTGCTCCGGCTCCTGCTGGGGGTCCTGCCCGTCCTGGCCAGTGCTGCCAGGCTGTATCTGCGCACAGCCCTGCCTCTGGGGGTGAGGAGTGCTCGTGTGGCACCAGGAAGCGAAGATGGGAGTTGGAAATCTAGAGGGAGGAATGCAGAAAGCAGTGAAAATGGGGTGAAAGTAGGACAGAGCGTCTGGTGGCTCGAATGAATCATCAGTCAACTCTCACTGCTGCTGCTTTATTTGCTTTTCATGCAAAGAAATTAGTGTCGGCTGCATTTTCCTTGCCAGTTTGGGTGCCCTGAGCTGTGGAAAGGGAAAGAGCAGCGCCGTGCCTGGGTGGGTGCAGGTCCCGTACTGTGTGGGCCGTTGTTGGAAATGGCCCGTCCCTGCCGCCCGCCGCTTCTCTGAAATCTGGGCTTTGCCCTCGCGGCAGCGCTGGCTGCGGGGCTGAGATAGGGACGGCCCCGTCCCACGGCAGGGTGCTGCAGCTCCCCGCGGTGCTGGGTGCTGCTGCCGAGCCCACGCCACGCACAGCACGGGGTGGCGTGGTGAGGAGGTGCCCTAGGGAGGCACTGAGTGAGCACCAGCAGTGCTCGGGATTGCTCAGGCTGTCCTTAGCCTGAAATAGATTTGGATCGTGTGTGTGTTTGTTCCTTTGCTATCTCTCTTTTGTGCCTACAGATAAGGCAGAGCTGGGCCTGTGCTGGAGCAGGCAGTGTCTGCCCTCAGCTCTGGCTCTGGGGCAGACCGGGGCAGCTCAGAGTGGCAGCCCCATGGACCCCCGGCCAGAGCCCAGCACATGGTGCCGCGGGGCACGGGGACGGTGTGGGCACGTTGTCTGGCACCGTGTTTGAGAGCAGATCCGCTGTCAAAAATCACATCAATTTTCTAAAGGGGAAAAAACAACCCGGGAGATGGGAGCCTTAATGATATCCTATTTTCTTTATGGACAGAAATGACTCCTAATGGGCACAAGAGCTGCCTTTTTGCTGAGGGACCACGTAATTTAAGAAAAGTC